AGAGACACAGAGACACAGAGAGACAGAGAGACAGAGAGACAGAGACAGAGACAGAGACAGAGACAGAGACAGAGACAGAGACAGAGACAGAGACAGAGACAGAGACAGAGACAGACAGAGAGACAGACGGAGAGACAGACGGAGAGACAGACAGAGAGACAGAGAGAGACGGAGTAGCCATTTTGGCTCAAGTGCTGCACCCTTGCTCGGGAGGCCTGTGACACCCCCCGTGCATCGGGGAGGGAGGTGACTGGTTGACTTGGGGTGTACCCCCAGGGGGAGCCTGTTCATTTTCCTCCAGCGGTGCTTGACGCCCGGCACATGTCTCATCAAGTGGCCCCTCTTCGTCGTGCCTCCGAGTGGAGCCATACACCAGTACGGCAAGTTTGCTGCTCTACGCGACTTCCTCATCGGGGCTGCCCTAGACGACTTCGGTGTCCTCACTCCCGGAGGGTAGCCGCAGCGGGGAGCCTAACCTCGTTCTTTCGAACCACCAGGGTGCGATTCCCTTGCTGCTCAACGGGTCGTAAACTTTGACCAGGGTGTGCAACGTGATACTTTCTCCTGGACACCAAGAACGAGATCCGTGCCCACAATGGGGAAAAGGGGGAGATCCCCAACAAAAGCAGCTGAGAGTAGAGAGGTGCGCCAGAAATGCCTCGCCGGAAAGCCTCCTTAGACAGCGAGATCCCGAGGGCAGCGACCCCTGCGACTTTGACGCCTGCAACTCGGACGCAGAGAAGCAGCCTACAGGGAAAACAGGCGTCAACAGCGACTGGAAGGCACGTGGACAAAAGACGACAACCGAAGGGGGAAGCGCCCTTGAAGTCGAGGACTACCTCAACTGAGCTGAGAAGTTAAGTGAGCGAGGCCCTTTGTTTCATACTTTCTGCCCCGGGGGAAACCCCATAGCCACCAAGCTGCAAGAAAACTTGTTTGCTTCCCAGGGCTACTGAGCTGGCTTGCATGTTTCTCTCCACACTCCTCAACAACGACTTTTTGCTTAAGTTTGTAGCCAGTTTTGTACAGGGGGAAACCCCACAAGCCCTTTCTAGGGTGTACCATAGACGGGCCGCTGGAGCCATCCATACACCTACTTTCCAAGCCTCCGCTCTGAGGCATGTTTTCCTCAAAATGTACAGAGCCGTCTTTTTGCACTTAATTCGGCCAGCCACTTTTCAGTTTTGCCGCCACCCATGACAGGCCCAATAGTTCCTATTGTTTTCTTTTCTTCTTGTTGCTTGTTATGTGCATTGTTTGTTTGGTTCCGTGAACTGGCCTAGTTGCCTTGGTGGTGCAGCTTCGTCTCTCCACCCCCTCCACAACGGTCGGCGGCGCACTAGCGCGCGGGTAAGGGGAGCAATCCTCTTGCCCCTAACCCTGGCGAAAGAAAGACGGAGAGACGGAGAGAGGGAGAGAGAGGGACGGAGCGCAGTCCCGATGCTGCATGCCACAGCCAACTCTGCTCCACAGGGGGCAATATCCCCAGAGCTGGATGACGCATTTTGCCTTTGTTGCACATACTAGATGCTTGGCTTTTGTTTGCCTTCAGTTTGCTTCTTTTGCAAAGACGTACCTTTCAGCCATGTGGAGAGAGCACTTGTCACTCTACGTCCCACCTGTGTGGGGCGCTAACGCTAGAGTTGGAAAGAAGGAGAGACTCAGACAGACAGAGAGAGACAGACAGACGGAGACAGAGACAGACGGACAGAGACAGAGAGACGGAGACAGACAGAGACAACCGGAGGGACGGGACGGACGGACGGACGGATAGATGAACAAACGGACAGAGACAGACATACCTACTGACAGACAGGGTGAAGTTGCAAAGAGTCCAATTTTGTGTCAGTTTGAACGAAGCTCCGAAGAGATTCCGAAGAGACGTTGTTTGAGTGATGTCGACTTCGGATGTTAGGCCAAGGTTTTCTTGCCAACTAGCAGACCTCACGATGCTACTCGAATAGCAGAGACGTGACGAACTGCACGGGCACGCGAGATTGGCGAGCTGGCCATTAATCGATTCGCGATTACGCGGGAAAGGGCACGCGCCAGGGAGAAGCGCAGGGGCAAGTGGGGAAGATCGCAATGCTGCATGGCTTCATGCCGAGCTCATCGGGCAGCCACGTCACGCCGCGACAAGACCTCAAAACATGTACTCTATCAGCACAAGCCTAAAAGCATAAGTCATGTGCTTAGTGCCTTTGATTCGGAAATGATTCCGTGTCGACCTGCGAACAAGGTATGATTGAGTGCTGATGGATGCAAACGGAGTTGGGTTTGCGGGTCTAGCCTCAAAGGAAACCTCGAGTAGAATCAGCTAAGGTCACCGCTGGAGTGGTTGGCCTTTTCCGGGATGTGTCGGGGCACCCAAGTCCATCCCGTGCAGAGCTTTCCCGAATTCAAAGTGAACCGCAAGCAGGGTGAGGGTCTTCCAGAAATAGAGAAGTTTGGAGCGATGGGATTCGTCGCAGGTGGAGTGGGCCTGCACGAGCAAGACAGGCAGCAACGGCGACAGGGCTGTGGGTGTTCGAATGGCATCACAGGGTGCCGACTCATTCTGCCTGGTCCGTGATGGTTCTCCGAGAGTATTGCATCTGCCATAGCATTCACACAAAACGGAAGAGACATGCACTTTCTTGGTAGAGCTCCCAATCTGCTTGTTGTGATTGGTCCATGCCGTAGCAACTGCCAGAGGAAGATCAAAGGGCGCAAGCAAATCTCTGCAGACTACACCTGGCCCTAGTGACCTCCCATCTGGAGGACAGGACCCCTCCAGCCCGTTGGTTCACAAACCTCTCACCTCTCGTCCAACCAACACATACGAGCGAGAGCCCGAGTTGTTTTTGCCTCTACACTTTATTTCGTTTCGCATCCAAGAAGTCCAGCATTCAGGCGGTACGATTCGTAGTTTGGGCTTGGGCAGACGGTAGAGTTTGGTGATTCGGTTTGGTGCGCCGGGGTAGAGACCTGTACGGGTGCCACAGCCCATAGAGCCCGCGTTTGTCGCCCCCCCCGGTGAAACGGACAGATGCGCGCTTGTCCAGTTTTGAGCTGCCCTTGGAAGCAGCAGCTCCGTCACTCGCGTCTTACCAGTCAAGTACCTTTGAGTTCATCGTTTCCTCAGTTTAACGGCGCTCGGGCAGGTCGCAGGGTTTTGGGCTTTCGCTAGCCGCTGGCATTGATCGACTGCGTGCGTACCTGCGTGCATTCTCCGCTGCCGTTTCTGTGAGGGGAGCTGGTGCCACCAGCGGAGATGCGGAGATGAGCACTGCAAAGAGCGCGAGCATCTGGATCCTGAGCTTCGCGGTCGCGGCCTTGGCGACACCACAGCTCCTTGTGGAGGTCCCTACTGACCTAGCGGTGTCGCTGCTGCCTCAGAGGCCCAGCTTTGCAACACTGACACAAGCGCCACTCAGACCTTCCTCGCAGAAATTTCGCGGCTTTTCCATTAACTCGGTCAAGTTTCTGTGAGCAGTCTTGGTGTTCTTGGCCTTCGACCATCCAAGGTTTGAGGGCTGTGCTTGGACTGGCTTTGGGACCACTCCTAACCTCATCTCTTTTGACGAGCTCCGGATATTGGCCGAAGGTTTCTATGAAAGTGGGCATCCCCTGCTGAACGATTATAGCTTGGTCGAAAGGCTGCTGGCGAGAAAGAGGGAAGTGGCTGCTGTTTGCCCCTTTGCCGTCTTGCAGGCCATGCTGCTTCAGAGTGAGCGGCTGCTTGTCAACATCTACAGAAGTTCGGCCGAAAGCGCAGATGTTCATGCCATACAGTTTAGCGAAGCTTCTCAGCTGAACCTCGAGTTCAACCTGCTGCAAGCATGGCTTCAGGAGCAGCTGCGACTGAACAGGAGCGAGCTTTCCAGTTCGTCGAAATGGCCCTTGGTGAAGGGCTGGCGGAGGGTCAACCGCTACTACGATTTGCTCTGGCAGGATGTCTACGACTCCGAGGAAGCCTGGAGCAGAATGGAAGGAGAGAAAAGCGTCTCGGACGAGGAGTACCACAAATTCTTCTTTGACGTCGTCGACACTTTCGAGGCGCTCCACGCGGAGTGGTGGCCCTGTAGGGGCACCCTGATCGCCTTCCTAAGGCACGGCGCGCGCAGCGGCAGCTTGTCTTCTTCGAAGAAGAAGGATGTGGTGGACCAGGACATCGACGTGATGCTCGGCGTGGAGGACGAGGCAAGCTTCGAGGAAATCGGGCGATCCGTGGAGAACTTGCTGAGGAAAAAAGGCTGGGACCGTTGCTGGACGAAGAGCTCCCAAAGCGCACAGCAAAGCGCCCAAAGCTTCGAAACTGGCGCCCTGCGCCGGGATCTGCTGTACTGCGTGCACACGGGCCCGCCCTACATGATGCTCGACGTGACGTCATACGTTACCCTAAGCCACACGGAGCCTCAGATGCCTTACGTCTTTGTACACCGGGTCTGCGAGAAGGCCCTCATGCAGGGCCTTCAGGGCCTTGCTGCAGGTGTGGATGGGAGGACCGGTGAGCGCTGCGTGGTTCCGCCCAAGCTGGGACCGCTCCAAGAAGCAAGCGGCGGTTTGGCGGTGCTCTTTAAAGAGGCGATCTATCCTTTCAAAAAATGCAAGGCATTGAGGCGCTCAATCCCCTGCCCCAACAAGCCACTGGACACCCTCATCGCCATGTCGCACAGTGGCCTCTCCACTTCCTGCATTGCCCTTCCGGATACTAAAGGTCGCGGTGACGACCCTTTCACGAGGCAGTTGGCCTCGGAGGGCCTCAACTCGGAGGACGTCCGGATTCTGCAAGACCGCGCACAAGATCTGGAACGCCAAGGTTTCCAGTCAATGCTGCCATATTTTGGCAACTGCAGCCTCGGCTCAGAAAAACTGCGCAGCCGTACGCCCTCGGACCCTCGGATCGGTCTCCTTTAAAGTAGATTCGAAGATGTTTTTTTTTGTGGCCTCGTGCCAGGAATTGCCCGAGCCTCCCCGGCCGTTGCCGTTGCCTACACTCCCCCCACGAGCTTGGGAGGTTCAGACGCCCTGGCCTGAGCTCAGCGATGAAACGAGGCCCCGCCCGAGCGCCCAGGATGGCGTCTTTGTGCTAAGGACCGGCGAGCCGACCGTGACACGTGCCTACGTGCAGGCGCTCCTGGGATCTCGTGGGACTCGTGACGACTCGTGGCTTGTCTCGTGGCTTGTGGGGCCTTCGCCAGGAGTTCCCTGAAGCGAGACAGCCAGTGGCGCCGGCTCCGGCACACAAGCCGCCTCAACCTTGGTTGCAGGGTTTGGGTGGGTATCAAAGACGTGCGACAAGGTGCGACAGTGTCCGAAGGGCTTGTCAGTTCCTGGTGCGATTAAGGCTCGACGAGTTGCGGCCCGCACATACCGAGCAACGCGCGGAGGCCCCATTGTGCATTGGCTTGTCGCAACTACAATCATGTCGATTTTTTGACGTGGTATGATGTGGTTATTGAAACCGCGAGGCTTCCACCACGCTGGTACATCTGAGCGGTATGTGTGTCCCCAGCCCTGCATGGGTGGATGGGGGGAGAGCGCTGCAGAAAAACCGATGCAAGACCCAGTTGAGGTGAAGGCGCAGGACGATGTCACAGGAGAGGATTCCACGGTGCCGGGGGCTCAGCCGGCATCGCAGCGGCATCTCACTGAGACATGCGTCGCGACTTCGTGCTGTTGGCAGGCTCGTCTTCTCGGACTGTGCCGACGAACCGGCCGAGGGCCCCGGATTGTTGTGCGATTGCGATCGATTGCGCATTGCTCTTCTGCTGGGTGAGGCCAAGAATCTCCACTTCGAAGCGAAAGGAGGAACATACCTCTTCCAGCTAGGCCCGGCCGCCCGGCCCGGCACGGACATGTCCACTCGCTCCGGCGCAGGGCGGCAGTGCGCTCATCCGGACGACAGCCCGGAAGCCTCCTCGGAGCCGCGTTTGTCCTTCCCTGCGGACTGCAGCTCCAACAGGTGCCCTGCCAAAAGGGCCCTTCATCCCTCGAAGCCGTGATGGCAATGCATGCGGTCATGCGGTCGCAGGCACATCCTCAGCTTCCAGAAACTTGCGGAGGTGTCGCCAGAGATGCGCACTGCAATGCGCACTAAGAGTGAGGGTGAGGGTGATGCCGCAGCCGCAGACCTGCCTCTCCATGCGCTTTGCGAGGACGAGCAGCTTCCCGGTTTCCTCATTCAGTTCGTGGGAGGTGCCGTTGAGTGCCTCGGCGAAGCAAGCGAAGCACCGACTCAAACGCGACTGCCTTTCGGCACTCCCTTTCTGCAGCTCTGGAGAAGTGTCAATGCGCCAGCAGTGTAGGAGTATAACGGTATAACCTTGTCTGAAAGGAAATGCATGAGGAAGGGGCTTTGTTTCAGCTGCTCAGGTATTGCATCCATCCGTACCAGGGAAGTGAGAGGCATGGATGTGGCAGATATGCGGCGTCATATGCGGCCATTTTCGTTTTGGACAGTCCAAGCGACGGCACGGAACTCATCAATCACGTGCAGTGCGACCGAGGCACCACGGCCGCCTATAGGATCCGCTGCTAAGAGCCGCTAGGACTGACTGCGGCTTCTCTTTACTGCGGCAGGTCGCAGGGCCCTGAGATTTCGCGTGGGTGATCCGGAGCAGCTCGCCAAGGAGGCACGGAGACGGAGCAGACGCAGAGCAGACGCTTAAAGGGTCGCCTCAAAGGGCACAGAGCACACAGCGTCACCGGAGGAGCAGCGCAGCTCCGATCCGCAGCCGTTTCAAGGCGTCCAAGTCGACTGACGCGCCATGGATGCTGCGGCAAAGGCCCGAGCCTTCTACGAGAATGCCCGCCTGCGAATGTTCTTCCATGCTGAGATTCTAGCAGAAACGAGTCGCTTTTGCTTTTGCTGCCATGTGTCATATGTTTTCTAGCCTTTCGAACTTCACGCTTGCGATAAGGGGCCCTGCAAGGAACGGCGAGACCAAGGAGTTCGAGATGTGGTTGGATGCTTTAGAGAACCCGAACGTCAAAGACGACTTTGGGAGAACGTGCTTGCAACCCAGCTAACAGTGAGACGAAGCAGCGAGGACAAGTGTTTCACAAGTATGCATCTGCGTCCTCAGACGGGACAAGCTTCGTCTGGGGACAGATCCTGTGTTACCTTCTTGTTTCAAGGGGGCGGTGTGGCAGGAGTACCTGAAGACGGCAGTTTGCATTCCATAGATGGCTCGTGCGCTGCTGTTCAAGTTTCATGTTCAAGCCGTCCGAGGCACATTGCGGCACTCATGGGCCATGTAGAGATTGCCAAGATGCTGCTAGACAGCCGGGACTGCAACCCAAATGCCATCGACGACCACGGAAGGACGGGTTTGTTGAGGTCCGACAGCAATCGAGCTGTAGGAAACTGTCGAAGGACGCCGCTGCGAGTTGCCCTCGCTGACTCGGCCAAAGAGTCCACCCGAGCTGGCCGACTCGAGATTGCCGAGCTCCTCAAAGACGGTTTCTGGGTGTAGGCTGTGAAACAGTGCATGCGTGCGCACAACGCGAGCTAAGCCGCCTGTTTGAACTCGAGGAGCACCGCGGGACCGATGCTACCTCATACACGCGGGTCTATCCTACCGGAACGGTCTGAGACTGCAACATCTCCATGGGTGTAGTGACCTGCTTCGTTCGCACGTCAAGCGTCCGAACAGTGCAAAGAGGCTTCCAAGGTATCACACTGCTCCGAAGTGCAGCGTAAAGCTCGAGACGAAAAGAAGTGGGGACGTCTGTTGCGGCGTTTGTGCACACGTTGTGCTTTAGGCGCCGATTGGAAAGCCACAGTCCGTCATGACGAGGAGCCGCAGCTGAAGAAGGCATTGGGGAATCCGTTGATCCCGGTGCCGCAAGAGGCGCCCCGTGCTTGTAGGCCTTGTAGGCGCCAGCACAAGAAGACCCTGGGTAGCCACAGGAACCGTGCTCTTACTTCGGAGAGGGCAAGTCGCAGAGCCCGAGCCTTGAGCCATGCTGCCAATGCCAGCCCCACGATGTGCATGACTTGAGTACTTCAAGCATCTTTCCCCAGCAGGGGCTGGTGCACCCTCCGTTTCGTGCTTTTGGCCCTGTCTGAAGATCAGGTTCGCGGCCGGGGAAACCTTGCATCCCGCCTCCGCCTTTCTGGCCATACACTGGTGCGCAACTCAAGAATGATCCGTGGCGTTGCAAGAGTCTGCAAACGGCTAGATGTTGCCGGCGCCGCACAGCCCGTGCCTCCCTGCAGACTGCTACTGTCTGATGTTTGCCTGAGCCGTCAGGCCTCTTTGATCTCTGCAGTGCGAGAGGGAAAAAGAACAGACGTGGCAAAGACGAGTGATAAGTGGAAGACAGCGTTTCGTTCGGTCATGCTTTGAAGCTTACTTGGAAGAGACTGGCATCATTAAACAACACACGTCCTCCCGAAAAAACTCCAAACTTGTATAACGTCTATGCTGATACGTTGTGTTGTTTTTGGGTTATTTTGTTCATTCTGCCTCTCCCGCTCTAGCTCGCTCGCTCGCTCTCTCTCGGTCAGTTGCTTGGGGTGCATTGCAACGTGTGTGTTCTCAGGTGTGACGGAGTGGCGAACAGAACTCGGACGGCGCATTCTGGCTGCAGTGACGTCAGGGACCCAACTATAGAATTCACTTCTCACATTTCAGCACTCTGCACTTGTGCCGCACCCCTCCAGGCCCACGGAGGACGTCTCAGAGGCGAAGCAGAACCATTGATCGTTGTCCCTCGCTTCTGGTAAGCCTTGTTCACGAGGCCAAGTGCGGCGGCTATTTCTTGCTGGGCAACTGGGCGATCAGGTCACGGCAAACCCCGCAATCGGCTTCTGGGCCATTCCGAGGTGACCAGACGTGGTGCAACCGGGCCTTCGACGGCGTCCCGGCGAACAAAAAGCAAGCACAAAAAGCAAAGATTTCTGGCGGATCTCACTGCAAGGTAGCCACGGCTACGGGCAGGTGGGCTTGTCCTTCGGCATCGAGGTGCGGCGCTAAGCAGGCCGTTGTGGCCTAGGAGATTGCGGCAATGGACACCACAACATTTTTTGGCAGCGGAGGGGTGTTGTCCTCCTCCTCCTCCTCCTCCTCCTCCTCCGGCGTTTTTGCTCTTTAGAAGATCAGCGCAGCTCCTGCTTCAGTTTTGCTGCACAGTGTGGAATCCAAGAGCAAATTCGCCAGCTGTTGTCGTTTTGCTGTTAGCCGCGCGGCTGTGGAAGGAAATCCATAAACGTGAAAACCGGGCAACCAACGGACGAACAGTAGGCCATGTCGTGGCTATGCAGTGATCTTGGGCCCTGAGTTCTTGTCGTAAGAGTCTCGCAGGTGCTCAGCGTAGCAGTGTTTGGACATCTGTCAAATGTTGGCATTAAGCAATCACGTGCTCCCCATGCTTTTGACAGTCTTTTGACCCTGTTGAAGAATACGTCCAAAATCAGTACGAGTTCTTATCTCTAGAACGGCTGACGAAAATCATTTGTGAATTTCCATAGTTCGTTCTTCCGCTGGTGTATCAACAGTCTCCCGAGCCTTGGATTGAAGATTCTTTTGCGTCAGCCATTTGTGCAAACACGGCCAATCGATGGCGTAATTCTAAGACTCAAAGAAGAGAATCCGGCGCCCAGCCGAGCTTTGCAGCATCCACGGCCCATTTTTCGCTCGCGGGCCCAACTCCTGCGCTTCGACAAAGAAAAGTTCGAAGACAGCTTCAGGAGCCTTTCACAGCTTTACACTGGTTCCAAATATCATTCTGCACAAGCTTCTCCTGTTTTACGTTTCTTTAAATGTCAGCTTCAAGCTGTTCCGGATACTTGCCCACCATTGATCAGCCTACATAGGCTTTGTGCGGTCATCCGACAACTGCGCACCGGCGGGCACCCAGACAATCCTTCCGAAATCACAAAGGGATCCTCGCGCATTCCTGCGAGGTCTCTAGAGTCTATAGGAAGCCTTTTGCATGAAGGAACTGTCGGGACTCCGTCTCGGGTGAGGTGGTCAGACAAGCGGCAGTCACTTAGGAATCTCCGACGAACCTGGTTTTCTTGCGGACAAGTCTTCCGACGAGAAGGCTCTTGAGGAAGCAGGCGATGAATTCGCCCCTCTCGGTGGCTGTCGAGCAGGCTATCGTCTTTGCCGCGAAGATGGGTCTGCAAACAAGGTCGCAAGCACTGCTCTTCCAGTCCAGGATGCTTCCTCGTCGTACTTTTCCAGTGTGTAGGAGTTGGCCTTCTTGGCTCGCGCGTCCTTTCTCGCCAGGGGACCGCCTCGTATCAGACCGTGAGTTTTCTGCATCGGTCAACTTGTAGTACGGATCCTCCTGGTCTTGAGGACATTTCCCCATCCAGCATCGTGGTAGCAGAGTAGCACGGAGTTGTTGCTGAGGTCGGTCGGCTGGAAGACAATTCCTTCGTCCTTGTGCGTCATTGCGCGCTTTGCGACCAAGTGCGTGAAACTGAGGTCCCAATCGTAGGCTCCCCCTGGAGCTGTTGACACATTTAAATGCTGCTGGCTTGTAGGTCCGGCCGTGACTGGCCCCCATCCACCACATGGCTCCAATCAAAGCCGGTTGTCGTGCATCTGGTCTTGGTGGCCTCGAAGTGGTCTGGCAGATCACGAGGAACCTCCAGTTCGAAGAGCCTCGTAGTAGCGTACGAGCTTTGGGAGACCTTGACGAGTCTGAGCCAATCTCGATGAAGGAACCCACGTAGTCGAACTTTCCAGTTTCCCATTCACGGAGCTTCTCGCTCAGCAACCGCTTGAGCTCCTCGCAGAGCTCGCCCTGTCCGACCCAGAGGGCATCGTCGACTTGCACCCCGAAGTAGGCTTCCGGGAAGTCCAGGATGTAGTCTCCTTCCTCACTTCGGACGAAGTCGTTGCACCATGATGCAATGATCCACGGAACTTTGTGTGACCACCCATTCATCGCCTTAGAATCTTAGAACATCCCCTTGAGCTGCTGCTCGAGGCTTCTCTTGAACTTCGTCCACCAAGCCGATGGAGAGTGGGCTTTCGTATCCGCAGCAGCTGCTCCAAGACCCGACTTCGGTTGCCTCAGATAGAGCTCTCGTGACCGTGGAAGATCTCCTCCACACATGGACGCCGCCATCACAACTCCTGCATGTCCTCGCCATCCCGTTTTGGGATCTGCAGCAACAGGTGGATTCCTTGCCTTGATGCCGTCGGGGCGTGGGTGTTGCGGCCTCGCAAAAGGTCCGAATCTCTGCGTCCGCTGATTACCAGCCTCGCCGTCTGTTTCCAGCCTATCTCAGCTTGCTCGCGTCGTTTGCTGTAGTAAACTGTAGTACTTGTCGCGGTAGGCGAGGGCTGAGAACACGGCCCCCCTATTGACGAAGTACTTCTTGACTTTGCTCAGGTTCTAGCGCGTTGCGCCGAACATGTTCCTCCCACTGCTTTTGTTCAGCATCGGAGAAGCCCTGTTGTTTCTCCTTGGGTATCATAGCCACAGCCAGCTCCTTTGCCAAAGCCTTTTCACGTCCTCTCTCGGTCGTGGCGAACTTCATCATGAGGACCTCAATTTCAATTGGATCTCCGCCGGCTTGGGGCCCTTTGCCTTTTTTGGGACAGGACCGGGTGCCGGCGGCGGGTCGTTGATCAGCTTGATCGCCGTCTCGTTGCGGTTCATCGCCTCCAGATAGAACATGATCTGTCCATGTCGACATCTTTTCCAAAGAGAAGAGGTGATGGAGGTCGTCCTCTGTCTTGCGCAACGTAAAAGCTTTCCCGAGCTCTTCAGCGCCAGCCAAACGAAGGTGCTCAGGTGCGACAAAGTGGCGTCGTCCAGCGAAGGACACCCAAGCGTTGGCCCCCGATTCCAATGATAATTCCAGGCCCTTTCCAGACCCAAATATTGTCATTCTTTGGCTCCCTGTCGAAAAAAAAATGGACGCCGACTTGGAGCTCAGGGCCTGCAACTCTTGATCTTCGTAGAAGAGAACTCAGCCGGGCATCGTTTTGACATCGGAAGTATGCCTCTTTAGTGTTTAGCTGCCACTCGAAGCGGTGGACTTGATGTCATGGGGCAGGGCAGCACGGGATCCCGTCCCCAAACAAAGGCCTGAGAAGGGCTAAAACCGCTCTCTCTCTCTCTCTCTCTCTCTCTCCACCACAGTGCCCGCCGCCGAGCCCACAGCCGTGATGATCATGTCGGCCGCGTCGAAGGTGGTAGAGTACTCGTCGACCAAGCGTCCCCAGATCTCCTTCCAGGTGCGGATGCATCTCTCGACTAATCGGCCGGATGTAAGTTCCATGCCACTCGCTGCAACGTCCCAAGCCAGCTTGTAATCCTGACTCCAGATCCACCACCATAATTCCCGGAGCTCCAAAACACTTTGACCACATGGAACAAAACGAAGCCTCCATGGGCCACGGTCGAGGTCGAGTGTCCTTGAAGCCGCCCTCCGAGCACAGCCAGTACCGACATCGATGACCGCCATAAGCTCCACCTTGGTCCCTTGACTGTCGTAAACATAGAACGCATCCACGGCGACCAACTGTTTGAACAAGTTGAATGCCGGCTGCCAACAGGTTGGGTAGTGAAGAAGGCTTTGCGATTGCGGACCCGCCTCTTTTGTTTCTTTGGCACACCTGGCAAGGTATCCTCTTGCATGCTTGCACAACTGAAGGGTCCGCGCCCGCCAAGCGCAAGCGACGAGCTAGTTCAGGGTTCGAAGGAATGTTTTGGTGCAAACACCAACCGGATTTACTGGTGATGCGGGTCATTTTCACATTCTCTGTTAGCACGCTTAGTCGCTACTTTGCGGTCTGGTCCGGTTGGGTCGCGTGGTGCCTAGTGTACTCGTGCTCCGCCTGTGTTCCGGCTCCCGGGGTCCTGGCCGATTGGCTTGTTGGCGCGGGCCAGTCCACAAGGTCTCGCAACGAACCGGTTGCGTGCTCTTTCCTGGTTTGCGAAGTATGCCGGACTTCCGGTCCTGCATTCTCATATCCAGTCTCCACTCTGCCGGTCCTTCTCCAAAGCCACTAATCCGCAGGAGCGCCGTGAAGCTTTGCCCTTCAGTCTCTCCTTCGTTGCTTGGATGGAGCGCAGAGGCATGCATCCGGACACTCCGTGCTCGGACATTTTGCAGCTGGGAGCCTTCTCTTCTCTGCGCGATCTGGGTTTTTTCCCGGTGGGGTCATTTGCTCTGGGGCCCTCCTATTCATTTGCACTCGGATGGCTCCGTCCTTTCCGGGATTGCTATGCGCACTAAGGTCACCCGGTCCGGAATGCCATGGGGTATTCCTCTTTCCGGTCTCACCGGCACTGCGTCCTCTTCCTGGAGCTTGCGCTGGCTCTCGATTCTACAGCAATCCCTTCAACGTTCGCAAGCAGCGTATCCCAACAGACACATTGACTCTCTTCCGGCTCTCCTGTCTGGTCCGGCTGACTCTCCAGTCCTTTTCAGCACTCTTCAACGTGACCGCGCGGTCACCTGGATCCGAGTGTTCTTGGGGTCCTCCTCCAGAAGCCTTTAAGCTGGTGGGCGCTCACAGTGCCAAAGTTACACTCCTCAGCTGGGCCCGCCAGCTTAATTTCCCGGCCGACTTAGGTCGTATCCAGAGTCACCACCGGCTGTCCGGAGCGGACGCCTTCGTTTCTCTCTGCAGCTGGGACGATATCGGTCCTCACCCACAGAAAGCTCTGGTTTTTCACATCCGGTCCGGCTTCCGTCCAATGCAGCCTGTTGCTCGGGGCCCAGCTGAACCGCTCTCCGACTTCCCGGTGCCCGCTCTCCATCGAACCCGAACCCGTCTTCTCTGCCTTCACGGGTCTAGACTTGTCCTTACGCTCGCCAGCTTCGACGGATCCTGCTCGCCCCGTATCCTCTCCATGGCTCGGCCCCTGTGCCTGCCCCGGACTTGGAGGCTCAGATGGTTGAGGCTGCTGCCAGCGGGGCACCTCCTTACTCTTCCGAGGAAGAACTTAAGGAAGCTGTGGAGATCCTTCCGGTTCTGCACCCTCTTTACTCCTCCACAACTAC